CTATCAAATACCCCCACACTTATCTTTTGCTAGTCCTCGAGCAAAACAGAAAGAAAAACAAAACAAAACGAAACGAAACAAAACAAGTAAAACACAACCTAAACCTTCCAACAATCGTCTTAGGGATTTCCAATGCACATGACATGTTAAAAATCATCATTCCCACAGATTTTAGTCATCTTCACACTTAATTACATTCTTAATCACAGTCACCACATACTATTTCACAATTAAGCATTTAAAACCATGTTTTGAATGTAGTAACATGCCTTAGAGAATTTGCTCAATTCCTCACAAGATATGCACTCAATTTTTACTCAGATTTTCTGACTACACACCCTACACTAAGTATATGTGAGAAGATTGATGTAAACATGAAACCGAACACTCACATATATGTATCACAAAGAACGCAATTTCTGGAGTTAATAAGCATGTTTAGATATGATCTCATGAATGGAATGCTACTACTTAGACGCGAGAACCAGTGACACCATATGCTCATACCAAGTTCAAACTCCACAAATTGAAACACATAACACTCAAGATTGAAGTCACGGGTTGTAATGGGGTTCGGGGCGTGTGGATAACAAAGAAGGGATATGGAAAACAAAGGTTCTTAAAGAAATAGTGAGCAAAGCACTTGAATCAACTTAGAATTCACTTTTGAATGAAAACTCAACTTTTGAACAAAAAGGGAGAATTTAGACAATTTACGGCCAGAATTGGTGTTTTGGACCCTTTCTTCAATCACTCATTCTTTCATTTTTTTTTTTCAAGTTTTTTTTTTTTTTTTCTCTTTCTTTCTTTCTTTTCTTTTTTTTTTCTTTTCTTTTGAATCTCAAAACATACATAAACACTTAAACATTCTCTCCCCCACACTCATTTTCTTTCATAATGTAACTCAAAAGGAATTCAATTAAGTCATGCTCACTATCTTTTAAGAACAAGGGTGGGGATTGTCCTAAACTAGGCTAGGTGAAGAAAATGTGGGTAAACAAAGAATAAAGGCTAAACAAGGCTCAACGGGGTTAAAACTTACAACATATACGAAATATGGGAAGTAAGGCTATTTGGCTATGGTGGTGGTCACTACACAACTTCTTCTTGAATATGTGTTATGCAAATCAATAACATGCTTTGAATGAAATGGGCATGAGTTCTAGCATTTGGAACTATATGATGAAACGCCTTCTAAGTAGTAACCAAGCAAAGAATAATGAGATCATGCAACGACTTTAGAAAACAAGAAATCACAGATTATACTCTCCAAAGAACGTTATAGGCTCAAGTCTCTCAGGGTTGTAGCGTTTGTTTGAGTTCCTTCCTTCAGGCATGTTACAAAAACTAATTTTTCTTTTATGATTGCATGTGAAGTCATACATTATAACCATAACCAAGCATATACCAAGAGTAAATCAAACTTTTCTCTATGTTTATAACTCTTTTTAACAGTCATGCAATTAAAAACCAAATCCTGAGGCAAGTGTTGGAAGGTACCTACGACACAAAAACGACTCAAAACACTCTTTTTAGGCTTTTCAAAACATGTTTTTCAAATTTTTATGTGATTTTCGGAGTTATAACACAAAACACACTAAAACACTCCAAATCAGTTTAAAAACATTTTAAAACAGCAAGGAACAACACTAGAAGTTATGGGTGATAAAATCCCGCGAATTTGCATCAAATATACTTAGTTACCCCCCCACACTTAAATCAAACATTGTCCTCAATGTTTTAAGCTTAAAACACACCAAACAAAAGTAAACACATAAACAGCAACTAAACATACTAAACATGGCAGAATGTATCTAACAAAGAGAAGAGTTTAAAGATGCAAATCTGGTTATGAAATGTTCGTTCCATCTTCTCCTTGGTGATTGCAGTGAGGCTTGGATCTTTTGTGATTCCACAGGCTTACTCTTGAACTGCGCTGCTCCCATCGTTGATTTTCCTTTGTGCTACTCCTGAACTGGGCAGCAGGCTTCCTTTGGTCTCCCCCGAAGGTCTGAGCTTCCTCCTCTTATCTGTTTCTTTGTTCAATCTCTCCAATTCGTATTGAAGAGGGTTAGAGGATAGCTCAGCAAAGCTAGGTAAGCAACCAGGGAATAGAGTCCAGATAGACTCCAAGTGCCGGCTGATTGCTTCTTTAACTTTGCCATGCAAGTAATATCAAGGACAAAGGAAAAGACAGGGAAAGAGCATGATATGAGATACCTTTGCTTTTGCCTTTGATGATATGAGATACCTTTGCTTTTGAAGAAGCGGTGAATGAATCAGCACATGTATTTGTGGTGCTGTTTCCTCCTGGGTCATCTGTACTCCAGGCATCTGGTATCATCTTTGGGGAAGAAGAAAGAATGGAGTATTTCGAAAGGCTTTGCTGGGAGTGCGCCCTCAGAGGTGAGAAAGAGTTGGGCATTTTCTTCAGTTCTGTCTTGCCAAAAAAAAAATGAAGGTCGACATATATAGGGAATTCAATAGCAAGTGGTGATACTGTTCTTTTACCGTTGTCGACAAACATTTTGATCCCGCAAATCCGGCATTTTGGAATAGTGACGACTCTTCGATCTTTGAAGACGCCTCTTCGATAAAGCTGCACGCGTTTTCTGAAAAGCAGATAAAGCGTCGCCGAACTTTGCGCTTGTCGGCTAAAGACGTGTAGTTGCGATGATGGCCTCCACGTGTTGAACGCGTTTTCTGAAAAGCCGAGGCTTTTTGAATCGGTGGACGCGTTGCCTTGGCTTTTTATAGAGCTATCGATCACCGCCAACTTACACACTCTGAAGATTTTCCATTCTTGAAACTCGTCTCCGGCCCTTTGAAAATCTACTCCGTCCACCCCTTCTCTTTTAACTTCGTGAACAATGGCTAGCTCATCCAACCCATCGAACCTTTGCTTAGATTTGAGTCTAAGCAGTGATCCGGTTGCGTCTCGTCAGGGTAAGGTATGGTGCCCGTCTTTCTTATCTTCCCATGGCCCTCTTACAGATGAGGACTCTGTGATGACGGATCCCACAACGGCTACGATAGTGGCTCGGAACCTCCTCACTCCCAAAGACAGTCAGCTGCTTTCAGGACGGTCCGATGAGTTGGCCGTTCAAGAATCCCTGGCTCTGAGTGTTCAGTGCGCTGGCTCTGTGTCCAACATGGGCCAACGCCTTCTTGCTCGCTCCCGACAGGTTGAATCCTTGATGGCGGAGGTGGAGAACCTGAAACAAGAGATCAAACAACTTAAGTACGAGAATAGAACTTTGCATGTGCTTGCCAATAACTATTCGTCGGGCATGAAGAGGAAGCTTGATGAGATGCAAGAATCTCAAGGTCGGATGCAAAGTGACCGTCAACGGCTTGCGTCTTTCTTCCAGGGGCACCTCTTTCCTGGGTCATCCAGCGTTCCGCCAAGTATTGGGGCCTGGAATGCTCTATATCCTATGCCTCCCGCTCCTATGCCTCTTGCTCCGATGCCTCTTGCTCCGATGCCTCTTGCTCCGATGCCTCCTGCTTCGATGCCTTCTGCTTCTAGAGTTTTGCCTCGTGGTGGGTCTTCACGCAAACAAAAACAAAAACAACCTTTGTGAAGCTCCATTTGTTAGATACATTTGTAATTTCTCGAAAATTAATGAAAAAGCTTTGTTTTATTCACTGTATTGGGTTGCCTCCCAAGTAGCGCTTTCTTTTACGTCTTGTAGCCGGACGAAGAACCCAATCACTCCAGGATATGTTCACGAATCGGATGAGAACTCAGAGTCATGAACTAGTACCTAAAACAAGAAACAAAACAAAATTAAGAATCTGGAAAAATAAAAACAAACGAAAATAAAACAATCCAAGGGATTAGCAAAGTTGCTAATCCCCGGCAACGGCGCCAAAATTTGATGCGAGAATTATACGCACACAAATTAAACCCTCTTTTTGACAATTGTAGTATAGATATAAGTAGGGATCGTTCTTAACCGGGGATTAGGAGGGATTGCTAAACACTTGGAAACTGACTTAAAAACTTAAAAACACAATATAAAACACTAAACTTGACTCAAAGAATGCAAAACTAAAAGTTAAAACACTTAAACAAACCTAAAACCCAAAACAGCAACTAGAAGACTCAAAACTGCCTAAAAACCACTTTCTGGGCAGTTTTGAGCACCTACACTAGTTTGGACGAAATTGGATGAAAACTTGAATCAAAATACTTAGAAACACAAATCAAAACACTTTCTAACTATATTGGACAATACAAAGACTCAAAGGACTCAAAACAAGTTCAAAAGACTCAAAACTGCCTAAAAACACTAACTAGGCAGTTTCTGACCTTAAACACAAATTTGGACGAATTTAAGATTATAGGTGGAAAGGAGGGAATATGATAGCTAGGAACTTGGTGGAAATCTGGAATGGTGATGGGAGATGCATGTGGCTGATTTATGCATGTGATTAAAGGGTAATGACAGCTAGGTTATGATGATGAATGCATGTGCAAAGTTGGTTGAATGATTATGGGTGCATGTGGCTGATTTATGGTGCAATGATGAAAGGCAAAGTGCATGTGGCTGATTTGTGAAGGGAATGCATGTGGAATGAATGTGTGAATGATGGCAGATTGTGTATGTGAATGATTAGGGTGAATGTGCATGTGCTTTGACAGCTAGGTTGAATAAATTAAAGGGAGTGCATGTGGCTTGGCTAGAATGATTGGAATGCAATCTGAAATGGGATGTGTTGGTGTGAATTTCTGGTACAAAGGGCCTCCTTTGGTCTTCAATTTCGTCCATCTACTTGGCTTCAAGTATATGCAATCCATTTAACGCCCCAAACTACTCCAAAATGCACCAAAATGCACCATTTTGCATACTTTGCCCTTAGAACCTGAAAACACACAAAAGAAGCATAAAGGACTAAAATAACTAAAGAAACATAACGTAAATGCACGAGAACAAGCCATTTAAGTCGCATGAATATGCTCCTATCAAGGGGGCGGCGTTGATCTGGGGAAAAGAAGGGAAGAGAGGTGAAGAGAGTGGAGGTGAAGGAGAAACGGGTCGGGGAAGACATGGGTTTTAGGTTTTATTTATTTATTTTACTTTTTTAATTAATTATTTTAGGATAAATTATTATATTTTTAAATGCATAGATTTTTTTTTTTGGCCACATGGCATAAAATTGGTAGTCACGTCAATATAAATGTAGATCTCATAGTTATCACGTTATCATTTAATGGTTTACTTAACAAGGGTTATTAAAGGTTTATTCAATAAATTTTCTAAGGGATGTATGAATTAAAATAAAATGATAAGTAAATGTTCGAAATTGAAATGTTTTAAAGATGCTGTACGAGGTTGTAATTGATCCAAAATCTGAAGGGATAAAATGTAATTTATCAAAAGAAAAAGTGGAAAAAAGGAGAGGAAAATATAAAGTGGAAGATCAACATCTTCCACGCACGCGCACCGACATGATCAAGGGGAAAATAGTCACTTCACTGTACAAAACCCAAAAACCATGAATAAAATGAGGGACAGAACCGGCGACGCACTGTTTATTTCGTGCCCTCCTCTTCAATAATTATACACTTCGAGTTCAAATTACACCACGCAATATGCACGTTTGGCATGGTTATTTATCTTCTCTTGAGAAAAGTCTTGCAGATCTTCTCCCAACACTTCCTATCTGGTTCAACTAATTGCAGTGCAGACCTTGCGTTTTCAGCAAAGCCTTTCTCTATGCAGTTGCTGTTGAAAAGGCGATCGATGAGATTCAAAAGAATGTCCTTACAGTACTCAGGATGACCTTGAATGCCCAGAACGTGGCCTCCAATGGTGAACATCTCCACACCTGTTTTGTCCGAGTACGCAATCACCTCCGCACCTGAAGGAACTTCCCAGACCTCATCTTGGTGGCACTCAATGATGGAAAGCGCAGGCGGCATGTCGTCCAAGTAATTAAGGAAGCTGAATGGAGCCAAGTCCTTCACTATGTTCACTTTCCTCAGCCCAATATCCCACCCTGTATAAGCTTTCCCAACCTTTCCTCCAAGTGCTCTGCACAACACCTATACAAGGAAAAAGCAAGTAATACTCAACTTTTGGTCATCGTACGTAACGTGACATTAGATTGAAGTATATGCTACAAATTAATAAACGCAAGTATACGTAGTACTATTCTCTTACCAGAACATGTATGTATATGTAATAACCTAGGTACATATCAACATATATATATATATATATATGTACCTGATGACCGAAGCAAATTCCGAGGACTTTCTTCTCCATGGCATCCAAAGTTTGCAAGAGAAAGCAGAGTTTCATGATCCAGTAGTCATTGCCATAAGCATTATACGGGCTGCCACTGACGACGAAGCCATCATAGCCTTGAAGGTCATCCATGCCAGGAAACTCTCCCTCTACAACCCTGTACAAGTCCCACCTCTCTCCTTCTTCCCCAAACGCTGCAACAAACACATTGAAATACCCACCATACACTTTCTTCACATAGTCTGAGTCCCTTGCCGCCAGCAGAAGTGCATATGATCCAGATCTACTCTCCTTCTCAGCCTTCATCTTTGATTTTGAGTAAACAAGAAACAAGCCAGCCAAGATATATATGTATATCTCAACTTGAAATTCTGGTAAGTAGCTAGCTAAATATATATGTGCCGAATGTATGGAGCTTGCTGTTTGAAAATAAGCAAAGCAGTTGCTCCCATATATACGAACCGAAGTTGCTTTGTTTTTCGTTTTTTAATTTTTTTCGGAATCTTTACACAAGGATCAAGTGACATATAATATTATAATATTTCTCTGAATTTAATTACAAAGGAACTAAAACAAAAAAAAAAAAGGTAATGTTAGGGAGACTAAATTTGCAAACTAAACAATGTGTGCCCAATAGGAATAAGCACGTTTATCAACGTTTAAGTAATAAACTAATTATCAACTTTTATGTTCTTTAATTTTTAAAATTTTGTCTTCAAATTTAATCTCCTAGCATTACCCATAAAAAATAGCAAATAAATTCCAGAATCAGATGCCAGTACCAAGTTGGAAGACAAGCAGAATGTTGCCAGAAAATTGAGTGCACATATAGGAAAGCGTTTAATGATGGAGATATATGGCACTGGCTTTGTTATAAACATTACATAGAAAAACTGAAAATTTGTTATAATAAATAAGAGGATAAATAAAAAGTAACCTCAGAATCCTGACCTAATAAAGGCATCTCAGAATCGAGACGTATTTTAGGAACATTGCATTCAACAAATAAAAAGAGAAAAGTAATTTTAGAATGGAGACATATTTTTGTAACATTACATTCAACAAATAAAAAGAGAAACAGTTGATGAATTCACTCTAGACTTACAGGAAATGGCGCTTTTTCTTTCTTTTAGTATAGGAAGTCGCTCCAGTTTTATTCTTTCTATATTGAACGTAATAATAACCCTAAACATGAAAAATAAGGACAAAGTATATTTGAAAAGTAGAAACATAACAGTATACTGTTGTGAATTAATTATGAGGTGATTCTCGTCCATAAATTTTTTTTTTTTTATTCCATAAAAATTTTCAAATCGCACTTTTGCGAAACAGTAAACATATTTTAACATGTTTGCAAATTTTCCAACGGTGGCAATATTCACACTACTGTTTTTACTTTTCACCACTTTTTTGTGTTTTGGCCATCGGATAATCAAATGAAAACAAATATAATTAAATATAGATGCGTAAGAGATTAAAAATAGTATGTGTTTATCATTTTTACATTTATAACTTCTAAATAAAACTCAAATTTTGAATATTAAGTCATGTTAGATAAAAGTTGTTCGTGACTTTGTGTTTATTTACAAAATCATGCCACCAAATCCTTCATACTTTTTTTTAGACATTTAATTTGTTTAGCATATTTTAATTTTGCCACTTAGTATTACGATCCAGTGATATTCCTCTTTACTTGTAAGGGAAAGGTCTTAGGTTCGATTCTCGCCAAAGGCGAATTTAAACCACATTATTGCTAGCTCATTGTGAGGCTTAGCCCATCCATTCTCCTTAGTGTAGATAATATCGTTTGTTAAAAAAAAAAAACATATTTTAATTTTGTGTGAACTCCCCAAATCCAAATCCAAAACCAACTTAATTAGATCCAATATATACGCACATATATTCTACATATTATGTATACGAATACCATAAAAAGAAGTAGGTAAATTAATTTTGTTAAAAATTAAAAAAATGTAGATACATTAACTTTTGTAAAAATTCAAAAATAGGCACATTATTTTCATAAAAATTAAACAGTAGGTAAGTTATTTTCATAGTAGGTAAATTATTATTATTTTTTTTTAACAAACAATATTAATTTTCATAGTAGGTAAATTATTATTCTTTTTTTTTTAACAAACAATATTATCTACACTACAGGGAAGGAGATGGGCTTAGTGTGATATCCCACATTGCCCAGGGGAGTGATCCTTATATGTATATTCTCATCCCTACCTAGCACGAGGCCTTTTGGGAGCTCACTGGCTTCGGGTTTCGTGGGAACTCTAAAGTTAAGTGAGTAATGCGCGAGAGCACTCCTATGATGGGTGACCCACTGGGAAATTCTTGTGTGAGTTCCCAGAAACAAAACTGTGAGGGTGTGCTGGGGCCCAAATCGGACGATATCGTGCTATGGTGGAGTAGGGCCCGGGAAGTGGTCCCGCCCGAGCCGGGATGTGACACTTAGCTTGAAAATGGGCCAACAATAATGTGGTTCAAATTCGTCTTTGGTGAGAATCGAACATAACACTTCTCATTTATAAGTGAAAAGGAATATCACTACACCGTAGTACTAAGTGGCTATACAATAGGTAAATTATTTTCATAAAATTAAACAATAGATATTTTGAATTAAACACTAATAGAGTTTTGTTTAGAGAAAATGGATTGTATGTGGAGCTACCAGCTAAGCCGCTTTGGAAATTGATGAAATTTCCAGCTTCCCAAGTGCTCCAAGGGCATGTTAATGGCTATTGCGTCCGCATTTAGTATTTCATGAAAATTCTCTGTGTTTGATATTTTTCATAGTCTTTGATATTTTTCATGGTCTTATTCTTTTCGTTGGGGTTTGTCACTATTTGTGTTTGTGTTTGACATGTACTAATTGCAGTATTACTCGATTACAGATTTGCAAAAATGTCGTTGGAATGATTAGCTTGATGTTTTGGATTTGGTTGTCTATATTTTCTTGGGAAATTATACCCTTTTAAATTTTGCCCTCACCTCGACTATTCATGGCTTCACTACTGATTGCATGGATTGAAAAACAAAAGACTTATCACGATTCGCATCTGGCATTCTAATTAGCCATGAAAGATTTTTCCTTTTATCACAAACAAAGGTTGATCTAGATAGAAATATGACGTGTGTAATGTTTTTTTATAAGTGCAACGATACAGTGGCTTCATTGATTAAAACCGAACAATACAAGATGTTGCCATTCTTGGTATCACTACTAAATTAAACAGTTTGCGCGACGAGGAAGATTTTGTCGTGCAAATCATTATTAGGTTGCACAAAATCTATGGCGACTAGAAAATCATTGCGCATATTTTGTCGGGACGGGGTCGGAGGTCAACGGGCTTGATTGGTGTGCTTGCTCGGTGTGGAAGGGCTGTGAGGGCGATGGTGCAAAAAAACCAGGGAGATGTATTCCAGAGTAACTAAGGGCTTGTACAAGCATCGACATTTGAGACTTGTATGATGCTAGCTCACTCCTTAGGCTGGCAACTTCTTGCATCAAAGCTGTAACCTGGCCCTTTGACTGTGAGGATGACGAGGCTCTACTCTCCTGCTGCCTGCCATTTCCCATCCCCCAACAATAAGTCACTGGCCTTCGATCGAAAATCTGGTCCAACGTCTCTGTCACGATGTGAAACCCTGCATCCTCAGGGGGATCCACAGACTCAATCGACGTGTCCGAGGGAAGCTGGAAGGCAGACTCTTAAAGCATCAACTGACTCCTCTCCACCATAGTCGCTTGTGAAAAAAAAAAAAACATAGATTATTAATAGAAAACAATTTGAAATAATTAGTATAAATGTTGAATGCATAAGAAATTACTTACATGAAGGGACTTGGTCAACTCATTCCCAGGCCGAACATAAACGTCAGCAAAGACGTCAGTCTCCGGAAATTTTGAACCCTCCTAAAATTGAAAAAGATAAGGAAAATGTTAGTAAGAAAAAAAAAATTATTAGCTACATTTTAAAATTGGAAATGAAAGATGTAATATATACCTTCCGTCGCGCCTCCAACCTTTAAGAGAAAGGCCTTAAACCCGAATGGTGGAGAAGAGTCTTCTTCTCCTGATTGATCTTATTCGCCTTCGCCTTCTTCTAGTATAAAAAAAATAAATGTATTAGTTATAATACTTAAAGAAAATAATAAAAATAATAATAAACATTAGTAAAAATTAAAAAAGTAAAATGAAAGAAGTCATAATTAAAAACGCACCACATAGCTCGACTCTTGAAAATGACCCCAAAGCCAAACCCAACTATCTTGTCGGTCCTCCAACTCCTTCGGACAACCCTCCTTGAGAGCGACCTGCGAATACTGGAAAAATTGGTGCAGGTCACTCTTCCACTGCTTGTAGCGTTCGGGAAAGAGCCGATTGAGGTACGCGAACATGTCCTCGTCCATGTCCTCTAAATTGTAGTTTGTTTGCAATGTAACAAATATTTTGAAAGTATTAGTAATAAAAGACAGTAATAAATAAAAATATATAAATTTTACATAAAAAGCATTAAAAAGGCAAAGCTACTTATGGACAATTGGTTGCATACCGTGTTCTTCGTCTCCTCCGGCATCGCCTTCCAAGATTTCCACCGCATAGGGCAAAAGGTCCGCATGACATGCCCAATGTCATGGGCCAATACACTATGCTGCTCCGCCATTGGTGCTGCCCGATGTTGCTCATCGTATCAGATTAGGATAGGACCGTTGGTCACCCGGGTGACCTTCACCGTCTTCAATTGCTGACAAGGTCCCTAGGTGTTTTTCTTCGTTGCAAAGAGATGAAAAATAAATCATTAACCCAAAACTAAAAACAAATCCTACTAAAATTTTGACATAACCTCCCCTATAATTAAAACATTTCCCAAAACCCTGAAAATAACATAAACAATATACGCATCCAACACAATGATCACTACAGTTTAATAAAAGGTTTGGAACAATGACAACCTTTTAATCCTTACATGACATAACTTAACAAATTCAACCTAAAATAACAAAATTCAGTTAACATGGGAATGAAGGAGTGAATTAGGATTGTATAACTGGCCGTGTATCGGAGGCATCGGTTGTGGATCCCGATGGCGACATCTGGTCCGTAGTGCGGGGGCGCCGATGAGTGCGTTAGGCGCTAACAGGCAACGCCACCAAAGAAGTCGATGATGCCTGTGCCTGTGGGATTGGAGAACCAACTGGGTCAACCAGATTAACTGGCCTATGGTCCATCTCTGCAGGAGCAATGGCGGCAATAGTAGGTTTAGTCGTCAGATTAGGTGTAGCCGTCGGACTAGGTGTAAAAGTCATCACCTCCGAGTTCTAATGAGGTTTGACATCTACAAAATTGGAAATCAATTTGTTTCGTACACAAAGATTTAACTTACCATACACATGCTAATAATTTCAACTTAAATTTAAAACGAAATTTAAAAACCCTAATTCTA